ATACCAGGAAGATCTCCTCACAGTCTGCTCCACAATCTGAACAACCTTCCTTGGCTGACTCCTTAGGAGCTCAAGCTGGAAGAGAACATGCCTCGGACCTTCGGAGAACGATGACTTGACCTTGGTGTTGAATCAATTTGGCAAGTAGACACTCACGATGAATTGGACAATAAGTCTCAGGTTGTGAAGCTGGTTCCCTTTCAGTTTATGATGAGCGACCCAAATTCTGCAGAACCTGAGAGCCGTTGTGAGCCACCTAGAATGGGAGACTGGACCTATCTGCAGGTAAGCAAGTCTATCAGGCATGACCCCAGTTTTGATGGCACTGCAAATCATATAACCATAGTACTGGTCAGTACTCAGGTCGTCAATGACAGTATGTGCAAGCTCAACGAGTGGAGGGCCAACTGTGATTTTTTCAAAGCTCGGATTTATTTCTAACTCGGTGGCAGAGTCCAGCATCTTGCCAAGAGGACCAGACCATCCGTTGTGGAGGTCTCAAACAATCCAGACCAGCTTCTTCCCAATCTTCCGCTCTATCCACTGTATGACCCCCCCTTGCCACCCTGTGTTCGTGTTGGTGCTGTCCCCTCCAATGGCCTGCAGGGTCTGGTCTACGTTCCTCTCTCTGAGCCAGTTCACAATGTTATCTGCCACTATCTCAGCTGGTTTCCTGATGTCATCTTTCTCTGGAGTGAAATGCCACAAATACTTCCCTCCTGGTTCACTGCAGCAGGAGTAGTGTTCCTCCTTCACCATGGCAGGGAACAACTTGTCAAAATCTCCAACTTTCATGAACACTTTAGTGTCATCCCTTCTCCCATCAAAGAACAAACAATTGATTCCATTTTCTCTTATCCCCTTATCAAACTCCTCTTCTAGGTTACTGACAAGTTTCTCCTGAGCTCTCCTTACTTTGTTATGATCTATCACCAGGTGAACATCATCAGGTGTTATCAAACCACCGTCAATCCAGGCAGCTGTTGCTATCTCTGCAGTTTCTCTGAGACCAGTGTGGTGTCGCATGCTGGCCAGAGCTATGCTCGGGATATCTTTCCTATTTCGAATCTTATGCCTGGAAGGTTTGGGATCATTATTTTCTGGGTTAGGGACAAAGTCACCATTCTCCTGGTCAGCACTCGGATCAGCCATGGGGAAGTCATTAAACTCTGAATCAGCTTGACTCCAATCATCGGCCTTTTTTACCTCACCCTGGGCCTTCTCAAGTCTCTTTTCCTCGGCAACTCTTCTCCTCTTCTGTCTCTCTGTGGCAGCCTCCTGTCTCTTGGATTCCGGAATATCTTGGCTAGAAATCATGAGAGCCCCTATACTGCCAGTCTTCTCTCTCTGTGCTTTGACAAATGCCAGTTCGATCACAGGAATCTTCAGTTCACGCTTGCAAGTACAGGAAATGTGGGCCTCGGATTTACAGTCACAATCGCATCCAAACTCAGGACAGAGAACAATTGGGCACTTGCAAGTAATTATGTCAAATAACTGGTCCAGTTGCTTGGCAAAGCTGTCCTTAACTGCAAGTTTTCCTCTCCCAAGAGAGATATCTCTTGCCTTTTCCCAACTGGCTAGCAGTCTCTCACTAATCTTCTTCTGACTTGTTATGACTGGAGGTTTGAACTGAGCGTTAGCCAGAGTGTACTGTGCCAAGACAGCTTTGGTCATATCACTGGCAATGTCTTTGTTTGTGTAAGTTCTTTGGTTCTTTTCACTGATTTGCCTGATTAAAACACCGTATCTCAAAGCATCTCAATGTAGGCAACTCCGACTTCAGGAGCTCTCTCCCAGACCCAAGATAGTGACTGAGATGGCTGGATTTTTGGTTCCTCGTCCTGACACAAGCAGCCATCGCAAATATTATCAACTTATAAATGCATCAGAATCTGAAACAGAAAAAAATATTGTTAGTTGGGTTGTTAAAGAATGAAGTCAGAAAGCAATGTTCACTATTTAATTGTAATGCACTAATGCAGCTGTACGTTAGATTTTCGATAAATTTCACGCTAAAATTTACCTAGCAAAAGGTTGCAAAATATTGAAACTGAAATTATTTTCTGTTTATATACACTAAAATCTACCAAAAAAGTGATGGGCCATTAGTTTTAGCTGATCTTCCCTCCTATGACACACCCTACTATGCGAGTCCAATCTTCAAGAAGGGCGATCGTCACTCCACGAACAACTATAGACCGGTGAGCCTGACCAGCATAATATGTAAAGAGTATTATCAGAGATGCCAAGATGGAACATCTACTACTAAACAACCTTATAAAGGATTGCCAACATGGTTTTATGCCGGGGCGCTCCAGCTTAACGCAATTGCTCAAGGTATTGGATATTTGGACCCATATCCTGGAACGGGGTGGTAATATCTACAATATATACCTATATTTTGCTAAGGCTTTCGACAGTGTACCCCGTGAAAGGCTGAAAATCAAACTGGAAGGGTATGGAATTCGGAGAAATGTTCTACCGTGGATAGAAGACTTTCTACATGATCGCAAGCAGTGTGTGGTGATTTATGGCACAAAATCATCATCCGGACCTGTCACAAGCAGGGTACCACAGGGCAGTGTATTGGGCCCGCTGATGTTTGTTTGTTTCATAAATGGCATGCCTGACGTTGAACACTCCCCCATATAAATATTTGCCGATGACGCCAAGTTATATCGGGAACTCAAGAACCAAGCGGACTGTGAAGAGTTGCAGAAGGACCCCTGTGGTCTCCAAGAATGGTCGAAGAAATGGCTGCTGAAATTCAATGTCACGAAGTGTAAGAGGATGCACCTGGGGCGTACCAACGGTAAGGAGGCGTATCATATGTCCCAACGGGATGAAGAAACTGCACTACTTGAGACTGAATGTGAGAAGGACCTAGGTGTGTATGTCGACAATGAACTGAAGTTCACGGGCCATTGTGAGAAGAAGGTAAATCAGGCAAATAAATTATTGGGTCTTATAAGAACACCATTCAGATATCTAGACTGTCCATCCCTCGTAACGATCTTCAAGAGTGAAGTGCTTCCCCGTCTAGTCCCCGAGATATGCTAGGGACTGTCAGTTGGTTGAAAATGTTCAAAGGAGGGCCACCAAACTGGTGCCTGCACTTCGGCACCTCAGCTACCCTGAGATTAGAGCGCCTGAACTTGCCTAGCTTATACTACAGATGGGCAAGGGGTGACCTAATTGATGTGTATAAGCATCTCAAGGGGCACTACTCAGTTGAGTGTCTTTACTTGGAACTGGCAGACGCTCGCCCCACAAGGGGTCACAGCTCAAGATTGAAGAAGCCGCAGGTCCAGAAAACTGAGGGGGCAAACTTTTTCGGAGTAAGAATTGTGAACTCTTGGCACAATCTACCAGAAAGTGTTGTGATGGCACCGAGTGTGAGCTCTTTCAAGACCAAACTTGACCAACACTGGAGCAGGTTCAGGTACATTCAGGAGCCGGTGCATGCCCAGTACTTGCCAACAGTGCATAACAGAGACATTACCGATCGCCCAAGCAGCTAACGAGCCGATCAATTGGTGAAGAGGATAAAAGAAAAAAAAAGTAACAGAAGCTACCGATCGCCCAAGAGGCTAACGAACCGATCAGTGGTGAAGAGGATAAAAGTAAAAAAGTAAAAGTAGTGTGTGTTGTGACAGCACTGAGTATAAGCTTTTTAAAGACCAGACTTGACCAACACTGGTGCAGGTACAGATCCTGCACATTCTGGAGCCATTACTGATCAATGGTGAAGAGGATAAAAATATAAAAAAAGTAGAGAGAAACTTGATAAAGTGAGAGAGAGAGAAACTTGATAAAGCACGAGTGAGGAAAACCTGATAAAATGAGAGTCAATAGAGATGTAGAGGGGCAGAGAGTTGTGAGATGGAGGGAAGTGCCTCATTATTCTGCCACACTCACAGCCCCCCTTACTCTCTCTCCCCCTCCCTCTGCCCCCTACTTCTCTCCTTTAACCCCATTCATCCATCCCCTCCTTTTATACTCACTACCCCATCCCTTCCCCCAACCCTATCCCTAGAATCCCCCCCCCTTATGAGTGATCGGTCTTCATTTCCCACTAGGTCGTCAATAGATCATACCCTCACCCCCCTCCAGGGGAGTGAACACCAACAAGGTGTAATGTCACGGCTCCCACGCCACCACAAACCACCTTTCATCCTAAGGGTATCGACAAGTTGTATCCTCACAACTCCCTTAACACCCCCCCCCCATGAGAGGATCTAGAAATACAGTGGTACCGGTAATAATACTTACCCGTAATAGTGAGAAGAGCAACAGCAACATTAGTTGATGATAGAGTAACCGATTGTTTGTGTTGGCTGCATTACCTATAATAACATTGTATTTCCAAAAAAGTACAAGGTATAGTACTTCCTACAGACCTACACTATTAAAGTTGTTACACACGGGTTGATCAAGTCACTGAGGTTTGTTGTGTCATAGGGAGTAGCTGTGTCCTATGAAGTGCAGTACAGCTAGACCCCGACTTACGACTGCTACAACTTACGACCGTCGGGACTTACGACCGCCGCAGATTTTTTATTAAAAAAATTTTTTTTTCTATACCGAAACGTTTCCAGTTAATGTAGTCTCCATGTATAATTAGAAAATTATGGGGGCCCCATGTGCATTCAGCTGATTACATTAAAGGTAAGTGCTCAGTCACACTGTATCCATTCCTTATTATTTATTACTTTCACTGTACTGTATCCATTCCTCATTATTCATTACTTTTACTGTACTGTACTTCATTGTAGATTTTTTTATTAAAAAAATTTGTTTTTTATATATGTTGGACTTACGACCTGGATTTGGGTCCCTAACCCCGTCGTAAGTCAGGGTCTAGCTGTAGTTGCATATGGGGGTTGGAGTAGCTAGACACATGGGGTTCAGTAGTTGTGTACAGGGGGGTTAAGCTAAACACATGGATTAATTATGTCACGATGCAGTATACTGTAGCTGTAGCACGATATACTTACCTGGTCAGAGGAGAGGTTGGGCGAGTGGTCGACACGGGGACACTTTCCCCATCCCCAGTCGTGGCCGTTCACTACCACAGACACTACACACAACACCACCACCTGTCTCAGTGTCACCAACATCACTGTCCTGATGAAAAGGAAACAAAATGTTACGCAAATAAAACAGGAACACGCCTGGCCCTCTCTGTGTCAGATATAGCCAGTACCTATCATATCATTTCACTCACACCACAAGTAAGAACAGGGATATTTATATTATACCAGGAAATGCATATTCAATAAACCTTCCTTCACACTTAAATAAACCTACGTCACATAGTTTATTTATCGAGTACAATTATTTTTTCATGTTTATATTGCCCAGCTTCTTTCTCTTCCTAACTATATATACATATATACAGTGACCCCTCCGTTAACGAACTCAATCCGTTTCAAAAGGTCGTTCGTTAACCGAAAAGTTCGTTAACCGAAACCATTGTTTCAATGGGTTTTTGGGTATGTGGTTCCAGCTCACCGAAAATTTCCTAAATTCAACAAAAATGGTGGAAAAGTTCACTTACTTTGAGGTGTGTATGTAGAAGGCTCCTGGATGATGATGATGATGATGATGGGATTTAGAATGGGGGTGGAGGAGAAGGAAAAACAGAAGGCATTGGGGTGGAAGAGAAGTCACCCCATGGCGCCATTTCACCCATAAAATTTTAGCGACCTAAATGAGGTGTATAAGCATCTCAAGGGGCACTACTCCGTCGAGTGTCCTTCCTTGGAGCTGGCGGACGCTCGCCCCATAAGGTGTCACAGCTCAAGATTGAAGAAGCCACAGGTCTAAGGTCTAGAAAACTGTGAGGGCAAACTTTTTCGGAGTGAGAGTTGTGAACTCTTGGAACAATCTGCCAGAAAGTGTTGTGACGGCACCGAGCGTGAGCTCTTTCAAGACCAGACTTGACCAACACTGGAGCAGGTTCAGGTACATTCAGGAGCCGGTGCATGCCCAGTACTTGCCAACAGTGCATAACAGAGACATGACCGATCACCCAAGCGACTAACGAGCCGATTAGTGGTGAAGAGGATAAAAGAAAAAAGAAAGTAAATATGCGTTATGCTGTTGCTGTGGTAGCTGGTATGGCTAAGTAGTGCCATCGGTTATGAACCTCAGCAATAATCCCTTTGACCCAAGCCAGGCTTGGCAAGCCGCTTCTCAGCTAGCACTGGTGGAACCGTGGTTGACCTGTCCTACGAAGAACACGAAGAAATACTGTAATTAAAGATTGGCTAAGAGAACAAAGAAATAGACTGACTCCCTACCACACAGGAAACCCAGAAAGACTAAGACCCAACAAATTCATATATCACAAAGAACTACTACACTGCCTTCGCAAATTTAAAGAAAAATCCCCTGGAATGAACGGCATAACCTGAAACATGTAATTAAATCTACCCAACAGAGCAATGGAAGCCCTGATAAATATTTACAACTCAACCTTATCGTCTGGTTACTTTCCCGACGCCCTCAAACGGGCAAAAAATGATCTTCATTCCCAAAACAAGTAATAAACTAAAGACCTACATCCTTCTGGAAATAACCGGGAAACTCTTGGAACGCATACTAAATAACAGATTAGAAAAGTTCCTGGCTAACCACAACAAATTCAACCCAAGACTACACAGTTTTAGAAGAGGTAGATGAACCCAAACGGCAATAGCAATAACAGAAACCATGGCCAAAGAAAAACAGCAAGTAAACATAGTCTTAAGAGATGTAGCAAAGGCCTTTGATAAAGTGCGGCACATCGGACTAAGACACTAAAACTAGACCTACCTGCAGAAAAAGAAAGAATACTATGTGGCTACCTCCAAAACAGGACAGCATAGCTACAAATTGGCAAGCATTTAGATCCACCCTTCGACCTAGAAAGCGGAGTGCCAAAGGGAGGCGTCCTATCCCTAACACTATTCGCCATATATACGAGTAACTAACCTGAACCAACGCAACATAAGGAACACATTATCTTTGCCGTTGACATAACACAAATCAAATCATATCCCAGAAAATCAGAAGCAACGATGGCACACCATACGGCCTTAGCAATAAAACACAAATTACTATGAAAAGAAATGGAAAATACGGACAAACATCAACAAATTTAAACTCGTACCAATTGCCAACAAAAACGTCGAACCAGTAATACTAGATGGAGAAACTTACCCATACACCAACGAAGGCAGCATCCCGAGACTGAAGATAAAAAAAAATGGTTACCAGAGCTTCATCAACGAAAAAGTCCACAAACTACGCAACAAACTCTCAAAAATAAGAAGAATAAAAAACCTGAACATAACAAACAAGAAGAAACTATACACGGCACTAATAAAATCAGTAATGTGCTTCCCGCCTGTACCAACCAACTCATTCGGTGCAACGAGAATCAAAAAACTTCAAACGGTACAAAATAAAAGCCTAAGATTCATATATAAAATCAGTTACAAAGAAAGGGTAACAAACGAGGAACTCCATTGAAAGGCCCACATCAACGCAGTAAACAGACTTCTACAACCAAGCCATCAAAACATGGGAGCAAGTAGAGTTAGACTCGGAAACTGTTGTTAACTGGCTCGACAACGAACCAGTAAGAAGAGCAAGAGAGGAACACGTTTAGTTCAGATTAGGCAGAATAAGAGTAAATAATCCACCACCAATAACCAAAAAATCATCAAATTTAATACACAAACAAAGAACTGTATAGCCAAATAAATACCAAGTCAAGCTTCAATCTTTCGATTAAACAAAAAAGATAGGACCACCTCCTTGTGAACAAATGTAGCAAGTTGGATCATACACCTCTTCTTAGACATTAAACCTCCCTACTATGAACAAAAAGCTTAAATTCTCTAAAACAGAAAAAAAATAATTAAAAAGATAAATGACTAACGGACACTATCTTTGGCCTCTCCAACACTTGTCTTCTTGCTCCTTCCTTCCACTCTTATTAAAATAAAAGATACGTTGCTCAGCCAGCTCCACAAGAACCTGGCTAGAGGACGTCACCCCTTCCTTGGAAGAATGGCTACTGCAAAAATAAACCTTTATAGCAAAATGAAAAAGGCTTTAGAGCTAGTACCTAAATAGGCAAGATGTAAGTTCAAATATAATTATTATAACCTCAGCGTATCTGGTTGAGCCCGGATACGGTTTATCTCTTACTTTCCTTTAATTTTCCTGCCTCTCCCCAATTGCCACCAAACTACTTCCAATTCTAATCCCTGCCTTTCCACCCAGCATTACAAGCAATAGCCCCTCTATATTAACTCCAGACGTCAAGCCAAGACCCGCCCTACACAGAAAGTCTTTTGGCCCAGGTATACGACCAAGCTTCCTGGGGTACAATTCTCTAAGGTTTACACGGCAAATATTCCTCGTAGCAAATTGAGCATGGCTGAACTACGTACATGGTGAAGGTGAACATGGTGGTGGTGGTGGGATAAGGACCTCATACTGGGCAGTTATCCGACAATAGTGGACTTGCCTAACCCTTCCTCCCTCTTACCCTCCGCACAGCCTTCCCTCCACATAACCTGTATTCCCTCTCTCCCTCCCTGCCCTACCCTCCACACAGCCCTCCTTCCCTATCCCCTATTTTGCTCTAACCCCTCTATCCCTGCCTCCTATACTACCCCCCCCCCTTCCACACGCGTCGTCACTCTGGCATCTGTATCTACGTCGTAGCTGAAGCGAGTCACTTCCGAGCATCCATCTGTTTGGGGACACACATCACACAATAATAATAACTATGCCAGTAAGGAGTTTAAATACAAAGTCAGCGATTGGTGGGTTACTTGCGACCAATAAAACCCCGGGTTTCTGTCAGGAACGTGGGTTGGCTTCACGGGGCTTTTACATTACTCACTGTTAACTAAATGTCTCTCTCATTTATTATCCATGGGGTTATAAGATTAATGCTAAACTAATTTATGAGTCCATGATCACGATAAGTCATGTGTACAGCACCACGAAGTTTTCCAGTTAAAATACTGTCACACACGCGGATTCCAAAAACAGGAGTTAAGCTGTGTTTAGTGAGGGGTGGAGACAGTAAATGATTATTATTCGTGATAGAAATACAGTTACACTGGGAGGTGTACATGAACAACATACAAGGAGAGACGTATTGTACATGACTTAGTGTAACGCCGGTAGTCACGTTCACCATCCAAGCCTTGCCTGTGAAAGTTACTGTGGTCATAATAATATTGTGTGTCCTTCACCTGACCTTGGTAGAACTAAGTTTGAAGGTCACCTGTTTTGCCACCAGAGTTATGCAAGTCCCACCAATCTGTTTTTACCGACATGTGAAAAACACATTAATTATATCCTTATTACAAACCAGAGTTACGTAACTGTATAAATTTAAATCTTTTATTTTCGTGTTTCAGAGATGTTGAATTTTAATGATTACATTGAACTTTCTGTGGAGTATCGAGTGTATGTTCATATGTTTGATGTTCTACTTCTTACTTTTAGAGAGAGAGAGAGAGAGAGAGAGAGTTACACCAGTTTTAGCGTCACACCACCAGGCTACACCCTAACAGTGTCCAGTCACCACTATGTTAAGTGTTGCATGTTGCACGTCACGAGGGCCAGACTCACCACTTATTACCAATTAAGTGACTCACAGCCTTTGGTCTTCTCCATGTGACGATGGTCAATGAGTCGTCACACTCCCTCACGTTATTGTGACGATGGTCAATGAGTCGTTAAACTCCCTCGTCATTACTTTTATTCCTTTGATCCTCTTCGCCACTTGGGCGGTCGCTCACCTCTGCTACGCATTGCTGGCGAGTACTGGCTCATGAATGTATCTTGTTGTGACCATAGTCAGTGAGGTGTCACACTCGCTCATGTTATTGTGAGGATGGTAGGTGAGGCGTCACAATACCTCACGTTATTGTGAAGATGGTTCAATGAGTCATCACATCCTCATTCACCTGAGCTAGACAGGTGGCTTCTCCTTAACCCAGTGTGGTTTTTTTGTAAAAGGTTCAACTAACAAAACACAGGATTTTTTTATCCCAGAGACATACTCTTAATACATCCCGGAAGCAAAAAGTTCAAACAGTAATATGACACCT